TCATGAGCAACTCTTGTTTAACTTTGTACTATATATAGCTGTTCATTTGCTTCAAATAAAGATATCGGAGTGAGAGTTGATTCTCACTATAGCTTCACTACTACGATTAGAGTTAGCCACTCGAGGATCTATATCCTCACACAGAGCTATGTTAGTCATCAATCTATAGTGTTAAAAAAGACCTACATTATTTTTAAGAAATACAAACTTTCTTATCGGAGTTCGAAAAAAAAGTGTACATCTAACTGATAGTCTATTCATTTCTGTATAGGTGATACCACAAATACGTCAAATATAACTAGTATCAATGTTACAACAAGTGATCAAATCAATGATGAAACGAAAGATATATCAGTTGAAAGTAAGCACAACATCACAATCACCTCGGGGGGTTCCCTCGTTAGTATCTGGATTCGATGTAAAATCCCAATACAATTGTTTGATTTTTACTCTATGAGAATTACTCTAACAAATCTATTTTTTAGATATTAGTCAAAATTCTGATGAAGTTATTGTTCGTGATAGTGGTCAATTTGAAGATACAAATACACATACACATGAATCTGTTTATGATATGGTACGTTATGTTTATTTCCTTGTTGACAAACTCAAAACCTATCGTTCGCAAGGTGGCGTAAATGCATATTACTTCCTGACCAAAAATGAAATAATCCAGTTGGGTTTGGTCATTCCAGATGAAAAAGTATTCTATGACTCCGACATTGTGGTTCTCATTTCAAATTAAACTCTTTGCTTGAGTAGGACGTTTAGCTTTTAATTGTCATGGCCATACTGCATTAGTTTAGAGTCAATCTCTATGCAATCATCAATTCTGTAAAATCAGTTTAGCTGTGTAAACAGTTTTGATTTTGTTTAATTGATAGGGCATAAAAAGAAGAACAAATATTGATAAATTAGGTCATTGTGCAGCTATGTTATTATACAAAATTAGACACAAATTATCCAATGTAGCAATGGATGATTACTGTAAACATTTTAGTGCAATTAATGTAAATAATGTTCCTCGTTCATTTGTTGCTGTACGTAATAATTTATCAAATGTATCAGTTGACGATGATAATATTGAAACAATTTATATTTGTTATAATTGTAAAAATATAATGAATAATCATGATCAATGTCAAACCAATGGATGTGAACAAAATGATTATAATGTTACCCCACCGCATGTATTTTATAAACTATCAATTATATCACAATTAAAAATTTTATTAGTAATACCAAATTCATATAACAAAATGTGTGATGGTAGAAAGCAAGTTAAAAAAAGAAGCAAAATGATATACATAAACAAGAAAATGATGATTGTTTTACTTTTACAATAAATACAGATGGAATACAGGTAAGATTATACAATTATTCTACCGCTAAAAACTGAAGATGAAAAAAATCACAAAACAAAGACAGTATGTTGTGGCTGATGCTAATACATCAGTTATTGATGATAGTAATACATGTGTCGTTGTCGGTGATGGTAATGCATGTGTTTTTATTGATGGTGTTAATAGATCTGTTGTTGATGGCAGTGTTTTTGGTATAACTTTGGCGAGGTGGGGGAAGTTTTATGGAGCAACTCTAAAAATTTAGCTGATAGCCAAAAAAGAAAAAGGCTTTCGGCCAAGAAATAGCAAAAAAAGGACAACAATTTCCAGGAGTGCCTCTAATTATCCCGAAGTACTCTACTTCATAATCAGTATCACTAATTATAAAAAGAAAACTATCAAGTAGTTTTATCATAGCAGCATTATAGGCGTTATACAAAAAAAAACGCACTGATAGAGGTTGGCTGTCACTGATAGGTTTAAAACTGCTTTCTGAAAGTTAAAAGTTGAGAAAATTTCTAAAAAAGTTGATATGGTTAAAACCGAGTTCTAACTATGAACCACAGTTATAACTATCAACTCGGGTTGATCGATATAACTGCGGTTGAAAGAGTTAGAACTCCGAATGGATAGAGTGGTAACTATTCTAACTCCAGTTATAACTACATCAACTTTAGTAATGACTATTAACCCAAAATGAAATTACGAAAGCTCATTTCAGTTTGTATTATAGTACAGTTATAACTAAGTTGAAATAGCTATAACTCTCTCAACCGCAGTTATATTAATCAACGCTATCAATCGGAGTTATAACTATCATAAATTTTTGACTAAAAGTTAAATTAGTTATAACTAATTTCAACTACAACTAGTTATGACACAAGGAAGTTTTAAACCCATCAATGTCGACTGTACACTACGAATATAAACTAGTGATACTGACCATGAAGTAATTGTAGCATATCCTAACGCAATTTTGATCCCCCTTTCCTCTTATTCCCTCCTACAAAATTGCGTTAGGATGTGCTAATTCAAATGTACATTAGATGTTCAAATCATGGTCTATCATGCATCGTCATGCATTGGTCATTATTTTGATTTTCTTATAAATTGTGTTAACAGCGCACAATTAAATGTTTATATTTTTCGATTTGGTAATAAGGGTATTGAAGGTGAGTGTATACAATGAGTACAATTTGTATTTCCTCAGGCAATGAAGTCAACGAAAGTTTTGACTGCCTGTTTAAAATGGAATTCCTGTGGACAATTTATTCTCTCACAATAGTGGAGATAAAATACGATTTATTTGTCTTTATTATGAACGGGCTTATATTAAACACATATTAAAGAGATAGAAAAACATTGCCTGAAGAGTTTTACTTTAAAAAAAAAAACGAAACGCGTCACAACAATCTTATTTTCTATGGAACCAAAATCAATATTCTAAGCAAGCAATTAATAAATCAAAAAAGGAGCTGAAGCGCTCTTAATATAAAAAACATTTAAGTGCAAAAATCCAAGTTATAAGTTGGGTTCAAGGAGTCTGAAATTGCACTTGTTCTCGTATCAATCTCTGTCTCTGCTAATAACGGTCAGAAACGCGTTAATAACAGTTTTTGTTTGTTATTTTGTCAAAAATTTTTTTCGTACAGCTTGTCCAAATTTTTAAAGTTCCTCAAAGCTGAGGCCTTATTCAGGTTCCTGACAGAAACAAAAAACGTATTCCACGGAATCAGCGTGTCAAGTATAAGGTGAGAGGAATGCACATGTATTTTTGAAAGACTCGCCTAAGATGACAATACAGTAGATATCGGTAAGATGAGTTGACGATTCCAAAAATGGACAATATCGACGGATTCTTGAGTGTCGGACATTAACTCCTTGCTAGTATGTTGAGTTGAATGAGATAAAACATTTGACTTCATCGCCTGTGTAAAAAAACTTGATACGTTTACAAAAACGACTTATGCACATTGCACTCGGTGTGATTTGGAGTGCCACTGTGAAAAGATGTCGGGGTCTTAAGCCGATTTAACAACTCGTCTAGGCTCAGTTTTTGATGCTGAATCTGAAAAAAATATTTTCAGAAACTCAGAGA